TTTTTAGTTTTTCATATTACCCCAACATTTCGCTTTCCGATACTGAAAACCGCACCTTTTTAGCTGCTTCTTAGAAAAAGTTATCAAAGAAATGGCCGTGCTTCTTCTTTTTTGAAATGGATAGTAGAGAGCGTCGCCCTTCGCCATGCGAAAGAAGAGACTTGCAGATATGGTTCCACAAGCATAAAATTTTTCGGTAGTGTTTTCTGAACCAGATTTTCTAGGAGATCTTTGGAAAACGAGTTGGTGTGTAAAATTTTTCAATAATAAGATATGACATTTTTCTAGTTGAACTTCAAACTAATGTCAAAAGTGCCATCTGGTAGTATTTTAAAATCTTATGTACCTAATCTATTCTTTCCAAATCAATTATGTTGGATTACAGTAAAGAGGAACTATGAAGACACTTCATATTAAATGCATGTAGAGGTGCGGCTTGTTAAAGTAACGATCAGTTCTCCATCACTTCTCGAACGAGATTCTTTCCTGATTGAAAAATATGATATCTTAGAAAACATACGGTACTTAGCATGCTCCTTTTCCTAGTCTAGACGTATACCTGATAAACGACAAGTGTTTGACTTTGTCTATATCATTCATATAGGGTTATAAATAGAATTGATCGAGTTCTTAATATAAATAATTATTAGCTATCCTTCAGTATGATTAGTAAGTTTCTTAATTTTGGTTGTTTTATTCATGATTTTTATTCCTATTTTTAATTGCTAAACGTTTTGGCACATTAATGCACCATCTTCAGTAGCAATAACCCACAGACAAAACTGACCATAATACAAATTATATTTTGTAAGTTTTTTCCTTTTATGGAACGTTTACTTCAATCATCTTTTCGTGGTCGTCTGAACCTTTTATTTTTCGTTTATCATATTCTTTCAACGGAGAGAAATAAAGAAGAAACCCATGTCATCAATTCATTTTTAAAATATTCAAAACAATTAAGCTAGGAAAACATTAAATATCAGACATTCAAAGTAATGTATGAGTTGAAGTTATCATACACAGAATAAAAAGCCTATTCTAGTATTCTAGTAGAATAGGTTACTAGGAAGAAATGTTCACTATTGAAATGGTATGTCTATAGTTGGCGAATGTTTTCAAAATAATTAGAACTGTGAACATTTAGTTGCGAGAAAAAATTGAGAAACAAAGTGTTCGTGTATAAGATCAGAACATTTTTCAATCGGCATTTGCTGTTTCATTCTAGAGTGAATAAGAAGTGCATTTCAGAACTGGATTGAATAGAGCTCGTCTATAAATCGATACAAACACATCAATCTTGGGTGTTATTTGTGTGTCTCTACTACTCAACTACTCAACTATTTCTAATTTCTATGATTGACACAAAAATTAATTTCCTTGATGCGTTAAGAAAATTAATAGTGTATATTGGATGAAATTCTGTGCCTGATAACAATCAAGAGAAGAACAAAAACCCACGTAAAAAAGGTATCACGAGAACATTAGTGATTTCCAATGCTAGGGTTACATGTTTTTTAATTTTTCACTAGAAAAACATTAACACATTCAGCACGATGTGGCCTACCGGTGGGCCAAGGTAGAAAAAATTGAATATCTCTGATCTGTTTCAATCAAATGGGTTAGTTCTTTTTCTCTGTGATAGAGGATAGTTCAAAGATTTTTTTCATCACAACAAAGTTGATAGCTGCTTTGAACTACGACCACTGACCTCAATAATGAACTTTACGGTATTTTGTGAACGGTGTTCTGAAAACATTTTACATTCGATTTTTAATTTTCGCATGACCATTCGATGGAGAAAATTGTTCTCTTTCGATCTGTGCAAGGCCGAGCTCGCTCGCTTGTTCCGTGCTGGAGCTATACACTTTTTTCAGAGAACCCCAAAATCGGTCAAATGACCTCCAACCATTCTAAAAATGGGTAAAGATAGGGGTAATCGATCACGCTGAGTCGAGTGGTGATGTTTATTTTTAGTTTCAAAGAGAGTGAAGTCATTAAATCAAGATTTCAACATTCCGCCGCTACATTGGAATTTTGAAAATCTCGGTTTAGTGACTTCAATCTCTATAAATATTTAACAAGTATTTAATCAATTGCAATTAAAAATTTGCTCGTAGCCAAGTACTTGGTCAGTACATTCATTAGGGCTCCTCCTTCTGTTCTCTTTGCTTAGTTGTACTTTATGCAATAAAAAATGTGGATTGACAACTTTGAAATCTAAATTGAACATTTATGCTACAAGGATAGAGTTGACAATCAAAAAAATAGGTTTATCGTAATCGATTTTGTGTTGTTTCAATGTCTGCGATCTTATGCATTGTAATTTGAAAGACCAGAAAAAACCACCACGGCGCGTCCATCACCAGGGAGATTCATAGAAATTTTTCGAGTTCATTCATGATGCCCCCACCACCACCAGGCTGATCAACATTCGGAGCGTTTCCAGTCCTAGCAGACATACCGTCGATGGCACTTTCGACTTGATTCAGAAAGCCCCCACCTCCAGTACCTTGATCTATTTCAAAAACGAAAACGAGACTTTCATGCAATACATCTATGCTAAAACTAAATCTTACTAGAGCCGGCCAGGCCACCTCCGCTCATTTCCGCACCGACTTTCTGTTCAATTTCTTTGGTGATAAAATCTATTTATAAAAACACACGTAGAAATTATTCATTAACAACAGAGAGGCAGAACAACTGCTAAAGTGTCTTTCTTTTGAATTAGAAATGCACCTAAGCGTCTCTTCTCAATAGGTTATCGTACTAGGTGCTAATGTTAAAGGTCGATGTGCAAATACATTCTACGAAAGATCTTATTAGCTCACAAAGACCATTGTAGAAACATGACCAATAATATGCAATACAAACTTACCCATTCTTTTTTGTTGATGTACTTGATCGAAAGCGAACGTCGTATAAAAGTTTTAAAATAATGAGTGACAACAACTGGTGTTCTTTTTTTATACTTTTTCTCTTACAGCGATGACGGAATAGATGAAATACATGTCCCTTCTCCCAAATAGGTTGATTTTTCATTCTCTTTCTTTTTTCTTATTCTTCTTTGTCAACAACATCTAACAGGATGGAAAGGGTAGATTGACACTCGAGTTACGCTTCACAACTATTCTGCTTTTTCTCTACGAAGCCATCCGAGCACGGTCTCTCGTCATTTTATTTTCGTCCACGCATTCGTCAGTATACTTACCGTCTAGAGAAGCCGTCAAACATAATTGAATCCGTAGGACGCAGAGTGTTCTCGACGAGTAATACTCGTGAAGTAAATGCAAACAAAAATGGGCCATTTTATTTGGTAGAAACAGAAAAATCGGACGCATGTATAAAACAAAACTCGTTGCCTGTCAACGCAACGTAATCCCTCACATCCTCGCGATGAGAGAGAGAGTTAATATCGGACTCAAAAATTCTGGGGAACAGCTTCTGCCAGACAGTCTCTCTCTCTCTCTGGAAAGTTATTAATATTCTTCTTCAGCGAGGTCATCTATAGTTGAAAAACATAACAATGAACCTATTTTTCATGAGCATTGTCGATGTTGATAGTATTTTTCTGTGGCTCTCTAAACGAAGCAAGTAAAAATTTATTAACACTTTTTTTCGAACTAAAAGACAGCTTGTCAAAGATGAGCAAAAGCATACCTTCACAGAAGAGACCACCGGCGCTAGTTTCTGTCCCTGTCCCGATTTTTCCGCGACCGGCACCAAATTCTTGAGCATTGTCCGGACCGGGACCAGCTCAAAAAACTGTTATTTCCACAAATAACGAATTTTTGTTTTCGTATCTATAGACTAGAGCTCAATCAGTAAATCAGCTTTTGCAGCTACAGACAAACTTGCTGCTACGCAAGCGAAATCAATCACCACTAAAACGGAACACATGTCCGTACTTATCAGAAAAGTGATATCGAATTTTTTTCAAAAAGGTACTTTTTCTTTCGGGACCACGGGACCAAAAAAGGTCACTTTCATGATCTCTACTTCACAGATAGAACAGGTACTGATAGCTGACGTTCAGATCGGCCGGCTTTGAATCGAATAATTTGACTTAATTCGGTCGATTTTTCACTTTGACTACTATTATGAATAATTTCACTCAATATCTTCAGAGCCATCTGATGATCGAATACATCGATTCGAGTGTTTCTCATCAACCTGATAAATGGGTCGCTCGTTGGGTAATGTTAGATTGAATGTCGTATATTGATTCATTTCACGTGACAATTTATTGAGTAAATCATTCAATAAATGTTTTTCACCAAGTATAGAAGAATAATTGACATCTGTTTCTTGACTTATATCGACTGTTTTCAATCGATGTAATATCACATAAACAGGACCACCGCGACAAAAAGCAGGGGGCTGCATATGATACAAATTTTTCTCGAAAGCACGGGTGTTGAGTTAGTCAAGATTTGGGTGGGATCAACAAATTTTCGCATTAGAAATCGTGCAAATTTTTTCCGGTGGTCAAAATGCACGAAAAAAATCTTGTTATTTTCCACAGATTTTCATGCCAAATTCGGGCTTTAGGAAAAGTCCATAAATTCATACGGACTAAAACAATTTAGCGCGAAGCTAACAATGTTTGCAGACTTCTAAAAAACTTTACTTTGTCCCGCATTTCTCTGAAAAAATATCTTCTCCTTCAATTCAAAGATGTTTACCAATATTGTTGCTACCGAAGGCGGCCGCGCTAACGATGATTATTCACAAATACAGCAACTCTTAGATTTGAATAAATATTGTACGTGGCCCTCTGTTATCAAAAAACATAATTCTAAGGGTTGCTGCCGAAGAGGATAAAGCTTTTTAAAACGTCTTTAGAGGAAACAACAGGACGGTCCTGTCCTGTGCTCGTTTGTGAAATGAACGCATTTTTGAATTTTTGTTCATTCCAAACGAAATAAATTTGATTTAAAAACTAGTTTGATAGGCAACTTTTCACAAGGAATTCAATGCTACTACAGCAACAAGTTAATTCTAATATTAATGTGGTCCTACGTTTATACCGAGGATACCTCTAATAGGTTCTCTTCTGATGCATTTTCATATGCCAGTCAGTGATTTTTGAATAACTCAAGAACGAAAGATGATAGAAACTTGTGGTTTTTGCGGTTCTTCTTTTTATAACTAAAACAAAGTCGAAAGTATAAGCAAACTTCGTTGCTTTTCTTGTTCTTTTGTTAATCTAATATCTTTTCGAAAGATTTTAGATAGATGATGAATAATATTTCTATAACATTGAAAGATTCTATATGATGTTGTTATTTCATTTCATGGTACTTCTGCTACCCGTGACGATGTGTGTATATCTTTTGTATAGTAGAATTATCAAATTGTTGAACAGTAACTGATTCTAATTCGCAATTTTCTCCATGAGAAGGCACCTTTTACGCGATGAAAATATCACCCGCTGTGATTTCTATAGAAAATTCTGACTTGCAACATCAGAAACCGTTTATGCACTAATTTGCAATTTTACCATTAGAACTCACCTTTTACGCAATGAAAATATCACCCGCTGTGCTTTCTATAGGAAAATGGCCCCAGCTGTTTTTGATTAGTTCCTAGTGATGCTGGCAGCTGATAATATCCAGTTGATTGTCACATGTTAAGTTTGATTTCTGCTTTCTTGTAGCCTGTGAAAATTTTTTTGAAAATTGATTCGTCAAGAGAGTTAGCATTTCACTATTTTCCATCGTTTTTACTTATCCAGCTTGTATGAATTTAATGGAACTGAGGAACGGCGAACGTATTGCAAATAAGACGCTCGGAACATGTTCCTGTGCTGGGATACAGCGCGTTCCAATCATTCTGAACGCGTTTTGGCTTTCGTTCGCCTGTTCTGAATGGGGTTTTGTTCCGTTTAGTACGCATTCATTCGGAGAAAAGGTGTGACGTTTTAAACAAGGGTTTAAACACCCGCACTCATCATTTCTAGATCATCTTCAATAAATCATTCCTTTTTCTTTATCCTTAACATGCGGAGGAAAACCGATGAAACACTACGAAGAGATCTATTCGAACATTCGAGTCCTGTCAATCAGACAGATGTAGACAAGAATGAACATGGTACTGCTCGCTAATTATGTATCCTCGAATCGAACGAGATAGAGTAAACTTATTTCAATCTGAACAATAATACATACATATTGACTTGTCACAGAAACAACATTAAGATGATCAATGATGGTATAGAAAAGAGACAGTGACAACAAATAGATGTGGCATACACAACACAACGAGTGAAAGAAAAGTGTATTCGACATTTATTCATTTGCCTTCCTTTACCTACCCTTCAAAGAAAGAGAATATGTCGTTCTTTGTGAGAACAGAAGAAAGAAGTTGCGTACACCGTGTTCAACGTTACATGATAAATGATAGGTCCTACAGATATAGTGGATTTATGGCTTATAAATAGAATTAAAAAGAATTAGACATGCTGCTAGTTTTCAAATCTTTTTGTTTCAGAAATATAAGAGTTCACAGCCCAAAAAACAGATGCTGCCTCATCCTCAATATCATTAAGTAGTAATGTGTCCATGGTAAACGTTTTTAAGAAATTTAGTTTTTGCTTTAAAATTATTCTTTCATTATTATACAATGGACAATTAAGAAAATAGTGTTCAGCATCCTCTTTAACATTCCCACATACACACTCAGGCGAATCTACGCATTTATGTTTGAATAAATAGTAATTAAGTGAGGGAAAGTTTGATTTTATCCTCAAAAATAAAACTTCTGCTCGACGTGTCAAAAATTTTAACTTTTTAGAAAATGGTGGTACTGTGATTAAATCTGATTTCATCTTTCAGTTAACCAACTCCAGTTCGACACAGAACGGGTACTCGGTTGATCAGCTGTAGAGTGAGTATATCTACTTCCGTCCTTTCAGTGTCAGTTTAATGTCCATATGGCAACGCCTGCCGTATATGAAGAACACATTCACGCTAGGATTTTCACCTGGAGTCCCAAGGAAGCTGAGCAGGTATCGTTCCACTTGAAAAATATGCGAATCACTCGCACTTTCCGAAAACATCCCTTTCCAGTAGTATTTCTAGTATTAGGACACCCACGGCCCATTTTTTCTCACAATTATATATATCATTTTGCAGTCCCGAAATTCTCCATTGAATGAGATATAAAGTGGTTTGGTTGACGATAAATTGGTTGGACAATATAAGCGACGAATGCTGTTGACCTATCGATTTGTGGAGGTCGGGGTTAGTATTTCTAGTGTTAGGACACCGAGGCACAGTGGGCATCCAAGTGGACATTTAGCAAAAAATCGAAAGTGCAGTTTTTTATAATTAGAATAGTGGCAAATATACTTTGATAGGTGGGCCATCTAAACCGCACAATACCAGCGCAATTAACCCATATATAATACCAGTGTACTGATTTTAGTTTCAAAATCACCGATAGTTTTTCAAAGGTCCACATGTTAGGAAGGAAAAAGACATCAGCCGATTTATCAAAACTGATTCTGTTCATGTCGACATATATCTTTTTTTCTATCGAACAGAAATAATCTTCCTTTTATTCGAGATATTCAAGTGTTTTCAATTTTTCTCGTCTTGGAAGAACTGACGAAATATAAAATTCTTCATTTATTGGTCATTACAGTATTTCGGCTTCTATATTTTTGGCCCTAAAGCAAAAAGAAAACCGGTAGAGAATTTCATAAGCTATCCAACCACAGTGGGCATTTAGGCGGCGTTTTCTGAAAAAATCGTAGGTGCGAATTTTTTTGTTTTGAATAGTGGTGTATATAGTATAAATAATCATTATATGATAGATACTTGTCTAATTGTTGATATTTTTGGATTTCTTCTTCTTCGTATGCTTTCAAATTACGTTCAAATTCTTCTTCATCATCAAAATCCTCTGGATACGGAATATTATCCATTCTTCTAACTGTTGTTGTTCCATTTGTTCTTGTTCTTTTTCATATACTTCTAAATTCAGTTCTCGTTCCATTTCCAATTCATATTCCCGACGTTCTTCTAACCTTCTCAACCAACGTGGACGATCATCATAAGATGATCTTCTTGGACGACCTGTGTGGATGGAGGACATGAGACATGACTTAGACATTATTCGACAACAAAAAAGTAAAAAGTGGAGCAAACACAAAAAAGGAGGAGCAAACACAAGCATATTATACATACTTTGGTAACAGACAGAAAAAGACAATAGTAAAATTCATTTACTTGAATGTGTCGATGATTTTTTTCTCTACCTGTAATTAACAGATGAAGAAAGAGTTTAGACATGTCAATGGAAAGTAAGATAAAATTTTGTCTTTGAATCAGCACCAAAAGCCAAATGATTACATTCAATACACACATCAACGTTCGGAGGGCGATGCTTTGGAGATTGAACTTACGAGAATATAACTGTATACTTCAGCTGTATCAATAGGCTCTTTCAAAAAAATGAACTTGGCTAAAATCGACTGTCTTTCTCTCTCCTCAGTCAGGTTACATATTGAAAACTTACCACAGTCCAATGTGTTTTAATATAATGTGAATAATTACGTAAATCTGTATTTTTTAATAGATCTGCACCATTCCTACAAGAAAATTAGAAGAAAATCGTACGAACTTGAAACAAATGAATTATTATATCAAAACGAACCAGAATGCTTTACAATAATTAATTATAATTTCTGTCATTATTCGATGTCCAATTGCATTCCAATTAATTCCATCAACAGCTTTTAAATGAACCAGTCCACCGCCAAACAATGAATGAAGATCAATATACATAATACCATATTTTGAACATAGCTAAACATCCCATGACGTGATCTAGAGAACTACACCACTTAGAACGATTATAACCGGCAATTGTAAAACCGGCAATAGGTTTTACGGACACTGAATATTCGCAGTTGCTAGTTCGTTTTGTTGAAAACACTCCCGTTTCTATGCCAGATGAACCGAACGTGTAAAGAAAATGGATTTTAAACTTAGAAAATTTCAAGAAATTTTTGTCCGGCGCCGTTTCGAATGAAATAAAAAAAAGGAATTTCTTATTTTTTGGCTCAGAGTTTTAAACTCGTTTAAGAATTTAATTTCAGAATCGTTGCTTCGATGCGACTGAGCTGAAGAAGTCAGAAAAAAACAGATGGTGGTGATTGCATTTTCTGTCAGTGCAGACAAAATCGTTCGACATAGCGACGGCCTCTAGTTTACCATCGTACTTTTTCCTTGCTCTAAAAAACTCTCTACATACTTGTTGACAAAATTGATTTCCTTCTTCAGCTAAACCTTAAAAATTAATTTAATTTCATGAAATTTAGACGAAAAATACGATTTTATACCCATTTCATTCTTCACTTATCCAACGACAAATCAACGGTAAACTTTGAAATTCTGTAAATTGGCAAGAAGTAGTACTAGAAAGCTGATACTTTTAATGGATATTCTTGACATGAAATACAGTCACAGAAAAAACAGTCAATCTTTTATCTCGCTCCATTCAAGAGTTGGGCATTTTTTCATTTTCTCTTGGTTCCTTAGGAAAAATCAGTAAAATGGCTATAACTTTTGAGGAAAGAGGCATAGGCCTGAATCCTTTTAGGCTTTTTACTGGGCCACTATACTCTATCGATCGAGTGATAAATCATCGAGTACTTATTATATGGTACTCCTTCGATCGAGTACCATACAAACTGGACACTAATTTTTATCGCTTTTACCTATCCTTCCTGAATTATGGGGTTTTAATTTCTAAATTCAGTTTTTCGTTTGAGGCGATTTCTGCTCTTGCTAGGACTTTTGAACGCTGCAATATTTTTTGAAAATAAAACGACAAATACATCTGAGAAATATCGCAAAAATTAAAACCTGATCGGTCAAACTCTTGGAAAGGCCATAATGTACAGCAATGTGAAACCGAGTTCTCTGAAAAGTCGACGAAAATTGAATCCAACCGAATAATTTCAAAAAGGTCTAAAGATAGATTTGAGATCATTATATGAAATGCATTTCAATTCTTTGCGTCTTTGTTATCTAATATAACTTAATGTTCATAAAAAAATGGAGACAGACCTAAACTAAACTGTTTTTGAGAATTTGAAGTTTCAATTTGTACTGAAAAACGTCTTAGTTGGAACGTAGCCAATAGTCATCCGTAATAACACATCTATCGGATACGAGCATTGCAGATAACTAAATGAACAATGAATTTGGCAAAAGTGGACGTAATTTTCTATAAAGTAACTTATATCTAAATTTTTTTTATATAAACCATTGATTTTTGCCCATAACGTGACACATTCCACAGACAACTGTTCATAACGACAATATCCGGTTTTCTGTGAAGTTGTTCAGTGTCTTTTAAAATAACACGTTTAACGTGCGACGAACAGGCTCGTATTAGAAAATAAAATTGTAAACGATGACCAGTTTCTTCTGACGCATATTTTCGTATACTATCTCATGATAGTTCTTATCGTGAGCATTCGTTTGACCACCAGCTAACAATTAATCATTTTCAAATGATCTTCCTCCCTTTTGTAAACGAAAGGAGAAAAAGATAATTTAAAAGTAAAGTATAAAACAATAAAGGATTTTCATGCATACTTTTGTCATCAAATGATGTAGTTCTAATAGATTGTCATTCTGAATAAACTGGACAAAATCTTTGTAGACACCTTTAATAACTAAAAAGAAGAAGACAAATAATTAGAGTCTAATTTCTCCTATAAATCAACATAAAAAAACTGTAGTTATTCTTCAAAGAAAGTGTAGACTTCTCATGGCAGTTTCAAGTGAATAAAGCCAGACTCTCAGTTTATCTTTCTTCACGCAGAAACGTCGAATACACACAGTAGCGAGGGCGACTTTTAAGGCGTTTGCAACTTAACACTATCACCCAAGAATAAAATATATTTATCTTTTAATAAACGACGAACTTCATTTGATGTTAACGTATCGGGCAGTGGTGAATTCGTTGTCTTTTTTTCAACAAAATGGTGACTAAAACTAGAAGAATTTTACGTTCAATCTAAAATTACGAATGTCCACAGAAAAATGCAATACAATGAAAGTGCTTGAACGAGATCAAATTCTATTAGGAAGTTTTTTTTTGCAGCACAAAGAAAATGGTAGGATATTTAAACTACCCAAAGAAATTTTAAGTACACTCAGTGACAGTTAGGAGTCACAACTTCTTTTTGACTCACTATGTAACTAATGTTCTTTCAAAATGTTCTTCAATACGTTGCCTTTCTTACCAAAAAATTTGATAACTGTACAGCACTATTGAAAGATTCGATTTGACACATCCGAAGAACAAGAGAAAGCACATATATGACACTGTCCAAAACCGGACGATAAACAAATAGTAGAAAACAAAATGCAGAGAACAAAGAAAGAGCGAAAGAAACAAAAAATAAATTTTCCACTTTATTAAACAAAGGGTACATGTGTACCCCTGGAAAAAATAAGTTTTTCTCGATATTTTGAGGATATTGTTACCAAAAGAACGTATTGTTTTTAAAGTAACGACATATTCTGAACGACCGTGAAATTTTACATCATACTGTATATTTTTATTTTTGTTTGGATCGCTGTGTAAAAAAATTATTTCAATGAAGTGAACACACCCTCAGTACCCCATTTCTAGACCTTCCCAAGTTCAGGTCAGAACTGATGTATTCAGCGAACTGAACTGGTCGAACAGTTCTTTCTGAACGAGCTGAACTGGTCGAACAGTTCTTCTGAGCGAACTGAACGTCGTCTTCCAGCTGCTATACTGACAAAGTCACACGGTGACTACACGGTATCGTACTAATGTAAATATTTTTCAAAGAAACTTCCTAGTTGCTTTTAAAAAAATCACTAATAATGATGTCGTTTCGGATAGAAAGAAAGGCTCTTATTCAATGACATTGTGATTTGGCTTAAGAGTTTTGCAATAACACCAACAAACATTTCATATATTCACAATAAGTTTTATAATATTTAATTTCATTTATTTGTGAATTCAAATAAATAAAAGACTTAAATAGGTTAGATAATATTTTCGGCATCTTCATAGTTCTGTGATCATCCTCAAAAAGTCCTTTAACCTTATCCACTGGATAAGGTTAAAGGACTCCTACATATACTGTATGAATAGGCATTGACAGGTCCTGGTTGTCCCTGTGAATAGACCTTTAGAAGTTTTAACTACGTCCTATGGATAGATCTTGATATATTAGGCCAAATTACAGATCTTCCAAAGTCGACGTTCAGTTCGCTCAAAAGAACTGTTCGAA